CTTAATTTCAGGTGGGCTCCTGGCTGGGCAAGCATCACTTGTGCTCGGAGTGGTCTGGTCTCAGCGAGGAAGGTGGCTCTGGCCAGCTGGCTGGGGACGAGACACTTAGGAGCTGCCTGTCCGCACACAAGGGTGCCGGGCAGGGAGCCAGGGGATACCTCCTTGTGCAGCGAGTCGTAGTGGCTGGGAGTGCGGTGGAGGCCGGGGCAGAGAGAGACCACTCAGACCTCAGGGGAAACGGTGCTGTGGGGTGAGACATTCATAATACCACTGGCCCAGACTTGCATAACCCCAAAGGAGTCCCTTGCAGCACCTCAGGTGAGGGCAGAAGAGTCGGGTCTTGCCATCTTCCATTGCAAAGGGCTTCAGTCCAAGCCCTCAGCGGCTTAGGCAGTTCGATTCGCACGGCGTGCAAGCTAATCATCTCCCCCTCCCAAAATGCAGCCTGTTCTGGGGTGGAACATGGCTGCTGTTTAATAGCGCGCCGGGTCCTCCATGTCAGTCCCGCATGGCTTCTTGCCCCGCTCCAGGGTCCAAGCCCAGTCAGAGCCCGTCGCTGCCTCCGCACTCTTGGTGCCGGCTCTTCCGCACAAGCTGCCGGCTTGGGCTCGAGTCCAGGAGGCTCAGGCGAATGGCACAGCCGGGGGCGTCGTAGCAGTGTGAGATGGGAAGCAAAGGCTGCCGTTGCCAGTAAAAAGCAGGGGTGCTTCGGGGTCCAGGGCGCGGAGATCACCGGAGCCTTCTCATCGCAAATGCAGCTAAACAGCAGAATAAAATCCCCCGCAGCCTTTCCCTGCACAAAGGAGTCCATCCTGGAGCCCCGTGGGCAGTGCAGGGAGGATCCGGCCTGTGTTTTACCCCCAGTGATGTTTGGGGAAAGCAGGTGTCCTGCCCAGGAGCTGGGCCTGGCTCCAGGACGGGGTGACGGAGGTCTCGGCCTTGCAGGGCACTGGGGAGGGGAGCCGTCACAGCCGCGGTGACCATAACAAGGGGACAGGGTACAGATCCCCCCCTTTGCAGCCCTATGCCTGCAGGGTGGCCCAGCCCCTCGCCCTGCACCCCCTTCGCTGTGGGCACGGCGGCTGGCAGCCCGGCGATCCCGGGGGGTCTCAAGGATGTGAGCAAGCCCCTGTCCGCAGGGGTGTCCTGTGCGCAGAGCAGGAGGAGCTGTCCCCGGAGCAGGCGGCTCGCCGTGCCCAAGAGCATCCCTTCTCGGTCCCCCGCCCCTCGGAGGAAGGCGGAGCGGCTGCCAGCATCCCCGTGCCTGGGGCGGAGCTCCCTGCCGGGCACCGGAGCGCTGGGGCTGGGGCCAGCTGCGGGTACGTGAGCTCCGCGCGGGGTGCGGCTGGGGTGGGCGCTGCTGGGGGGAGATGCCAGGTTACCCCTTCCCTGCCTGGGGCACCCGAAACTGTGATGGTGGGCATCTGGAAGGGGGGGATCGGGGACACCCTGCCCCTCCTGTCCCCCCCCCATGCCCTTAGCAGCCGGGCACCCCTTGCTCCCACCCCTGGGCTGCAGGGGACTGCCAAGCCTGCTCTGCAGCCTGGGGGCCAGGTGGGAACCTCGCTGCAGGGGCAGGTGATGCCCCTCCCGGCCCTCCCCCCCTGCCCATCCCAGCCAGGGCCTTGCCGGGAGTCTTTCCTTGGTCCCACATCCTTTGCAGCGGGATAGACCAGGTCACGACAGGGTCCAGCAGGTGCCTGCCCCCAGGTCCTGAGCTGGGAGGGGCAGGGACATGGGGCCGGGTGTCCATGGAGCGCTCCAGCCCCGTCCTGCTGTCTGGATGCCAGTCGCCGCGGAGGGACAGGGCCGGGCCCCAGGGTCATCCCAGGGTTGTGGCCCCCACGTCTGCAGTTCAGTGGGGGCCTGGCCCTGGTCTTAACCCACAGCCCTGGGCCGCGGATCAGTGCTTAGCCACCAGCTGGCCTAGTGGTTAGTGTTCAGGGCCCCCCAGAGGCCCACAAACCTCCCCATGCGCAGGACTGAGGCAGGGGTGACCTGGCGTGTTGCGGGCTGAGCCGTGGCACCATGGGGGTCTCTCCCCCTTGCCTGCCCCGGGGGTGCTGGTGAGGCCGCACACAGCTCGGAGCTGTTGCCCCGCCAGGCTGGGGCAGGAGCTCCTGTCAGCTGGAGATCGGGGTGGCAAGGAGGCTTCACCCCGCGGCCCCTCCACCTCTGCAATGTCTGTGCCATGCGGTGCAGCGCCCTTTTGCCCACTGGGCTCAGCGAGCAGGACCCGGGCTGCAAAATAGGCCCTGCTCCAGGGGCAAGGAGCGTTTGATTTTGGGGCTGGGCTTTGCCCCTCTGCTGCGGCTCTGTAACATCGCAGTCCGGCCGCGCCAGCACGCACAGGGAGCTCGAATTGCTCCTGTGCCCCCACCCCGTGGGCGCTGCATCGTGGCGTTGGGCTCGCAGCTCTGGTACTTTGTGGCCGAGGGCAGCCAGGGCTCGCGTGTTTGCACTGGCGTGCTGGGCGCCACTGCCTCAGCACCACGCTTCAGTGCTGGGCAGCTTCAGCACTGGGTTGTTTCGGGGCTGCCGCATGGCTGTGGGTCTGAGCGATGCCGCCTGGCATCGTGGTTGTGGGGCACGTGCGGCACCCCCTCCGGCCTCGGCTCCGCTAGAGAGAAGTGCCGGGGAAGCGCCTTCTCCTGCCCGCCTGCTCCACGGGGCTGCTCGCCTCCATGCATCTGTGGAGCGCATGTGTGCGTGCGGGGGGGTGCGGGGCTGGCACGGAGCCCCTCGGGCATGCTAACAATCGCTTCAGCACAGCCTTCTCCGGCAGAGCACAGAGGTTTTGCACGCTCACAAGCTCCTGTGGTGCGTGGCTGCTGGGTGTAAGGGGGTCCTGGGAAGTGGCACGGGGGAGGAGGATGGCACACAGCGGCCAGGGCGTTTGCCCTGTGGGTACAGCCCCTCGGTGCCCCAGGAGAGCCCCCCACCCTGGTTTTGCATGAGAGGGACCTGACTGCAGCTGCCGGGGGCTGCCCAGGGGAGACAGGGCTGCGTGGGTCTGCAGTCGCAGCAGGGCACCCGAGCTGGGCGCAGCCTCGAGGGGCTTTGGCAGAGCACAGCATCATGGGCTTGCCCATCACATGCCTCCCCATCTCCAGCTGGGCTCATGGATCCCTCACATCTACCAGGACCCGCGAGTTGCTTTCCAGGTGGAGAGAGGATACAGTCTGCGTGTGCCCCTGGGGTGACAGCCAGGGGGGCCTGGGCAATGCCTGGCCGAGCTGCCCCTGAGATCACTCTGCAGGGTTAAATGGCTCCCTGGTCGGCTCGGCTTTGCACTGTGCGATGCTCGCAGGGGCCAGCTCTGCCCTCGCCGCAGGCCGGCTGAGCCCAGGGGAGGGCGCCAAGCTCCCGCCGCATGGATGGTTTCGGGCACAGCTGGAAATGGTGGCTGCACCCAGGATACTCCAGGCACCTGCCTGCAACATGCAGAGACCCGGCTGCATGGATTTGGGCCTGGGGTGGTTGTGAGACGCGCCTGACCCCTCCCTGAGTCTAGGTCTCCCTGCCAAGGTCTTTAAAAGTGTCGTAGGTGCATGACCTCCAAACAGCTGGGTTCTGGCTCGGCCTGTGGGACCGAGATCCGGGCCTTCCCCTGGCTGTGCCTCGGTTTCCCCGCCTGTCACATAGGAGCTACCCCGCGAGCGGCTCTGAAGCCGTGCTGGTGCCGCACGCTCGTGCCAGGCAGAGCTCACTGGCCTCTGGGTCATCCCAATCTTCCGGCTTAGTTGCAAATCAGCGGGGAGTCCCAGATGGCGAGCGCGGTGCCTGCGAAATATCCCAGCCTGCTCCCACTCGCAGACACAGCCCCGCTGGCCAGGGGAGCACGGGGCTTTGCTGCGTGGCTGCCTCCCGCTGGGATCCAGGCATATGCAGGGCTGGAGACAGCTGCAGGCAGTTCACAAGCCTGTGCTGTGCCCCTGGGCCGAGCAGGGATGGGGGCACATGCCCACCCTGGCTCTCAGTCGCAGGCTGGGGCAGTTGCCAGAGGCACTGTGGGGCAGGGGGTGGCTGGGGCGGGCACAGCTGTGGTCCCGGGGGAGGGAGTGCTGTGGGGGGCAACACAGCTCTGGGTCCCAGACAGCGGGCTCAGTGCCCTGGGCACATCACTTCACCTCGCCGTGCCTCGCTTTCCCCTCCTGGGCCCATCTCGCCTAGCTAGAGCATAAGCTTTTCATGATGGGACCCGTCTGTTCGTACAGCGCCTGGCACAGGGGGCTCTCACGCTGGCAGTACCCTGCCAGGGCTACTCACCCCTAGCAAACCACAGCCCGGTATAAAACCAGATTCTGGTGTGAAGCAGGATTCGTCCCCTGAGAGCAGAGCGTGACCCTTGCTGGGAGCTCGCCTTTGTCTGTGCGCCTCTGGGCGGCCCGCGTGGCTGCGCGCCCAAGGGAGGGGAAGGTCAAGACTGCCGGCGGGCACGGCGCTCCTTCCCGTAGGATCTTCAGGCTGGGGGCAGCCTCCACTGCTGCCCTGGGATCCAGAGCATCCCTGGGGCGTCCAGCTGTGCGCCAGAGACCGGCAGCTCTGGTTGCTGCAGGGCTCTCGGAGGCTGGGGGTTATTTCTGTCCCGTGCCCGCGCCTGCCCCTTGAAGCGGTGGAGGGGCCATCTGGAGCCCCTTGTCACACGGCAGCCAGCTCTCCCCGCGGCTGCATCTCCTGGTAGTGCCAATCTATTCGCCGCCTTGTTCGCCTGCTACCACCCGATGCAGCGGGCAGCGCGGCTCCAGTTGCGCTGCGCCAGCCGCCTGCACTGCTGCTTTCTGCTGCGGGGGCCCCAAGCCACGGGGGTTGCAGCAGAGGAAGGCCGGCCCGCTGCGGCCCGGTGCCCTCCTCGCCCAGGCGCTGGTTCTCGGTGTGGCCTGGGGATCGCGGTCACGTGGCCTGTCTCCGTGGGCAGCCCCTGCCCGGGGCCTGTTAAACGCCCCAGGCCCCCGGGCTGCAGGGGCTGGACAGTGACCCGCGTCTCTCTTCTCTTGCAGGAAGAACAATGGGCCGAGCCAGCTCTTCTCACACGCCGTAGAGCTGCCCCGGGTGGACTCTGCTCCCCCCCACACTGCTCCCCGCTACCCTAAGGTAAGGAGCTGCCCAGCTTTTCCTCCCCACCCCCCTGGATGAATCACCTCTGCATAGTGCCCCCGACACCCGTACCCCAGTCACGAACGTGCCGGGGGCCTGATCCGTTCACCCTTCGGGAAGAAGCTCCAGGTCATCAGGGGAGGGATTGCCCCCCCTCTCCACACAGGATGCATGGGTGAGAGGCAGGGCCACAGAGTCGCACTCCCAGCCCTGCCACTGACTTGCTGTGCAGCCTTGGGCAAGTCCCTTTCCCTCCCCAGGCCTCAGTGTCCATCTCCTGAATCAATGCTGCTGCTCTGCGGCTGGTGGGGGGTGTGGAGATGTCATGAGTGTAGTACCCCCAGCCCAGATGCACCGGGTTGAGATTCCTGTAGGCTTGTAGGGCAGTGACCCTGGCTTTCCTCCAGCTTGCCTTCTGGGATCTGAGGGGCTGGCTTTTCACTTGGGTGGTTTGGGGATGCTTAGCTGGCCCCATGGCGTCTCTCCTGGTCAGGGGGAGGCTGCATGGGCCTGTAGCTGCGGGGCTGTTGCTCAGTGTTGGCTGCAGGGCTGGCCCCCACAGGTCACAGTTGGTTATCGTTGGTTATCGTCGGAAACACACTGCGGTCCTTCCTGCGCTGCTGGGCCCCGGCGCCAGCTCAGCTCCCAGGGAAGGTGCTAGGGTAGGGGGCATTGCATGCACCTGAGAGCCACTTGGGTCACACCTTCCTGTCCAAACCCCGCTCCCCTCTGCTCTCTGTGCCTTCCAGCCCCTGGCACCATTTGCAAGGGAAATGAGGGCAGCTGCAGGTCTGGGCAACCCTCCGGGGGCAGATGGGACCTGTTGCAGCTGTGGGAGCCCGTGGCTCCTTGCCCCTGCTTGGTGCTGGTGGTTACCTAGAGGGCAGGGCATTCAGGCCGACCCTGAGGCTGGAAGGAGCAGGGGACAGCAAGAAGTTGTCCCAGACTGATGCGGGAGGGCGAAACTGCCGCCTCTGGGCATCACTGCCGCGTTTGGGTCTGTGCCCCTGCAAGAGGGGAAGTCGGCACTGCTTTGGCCGTGCTCTCTCTGACCCACATTTTGGTCTCTTTTGGGTGAGAATGAGTACTCAGGAGACACGGGTCTAGCATTCAAGGGCACTCTGAGGCTGCTGCCTAGGGGATTTGTGTGCACGCTCCCTTCTGAGCCCCGGGGCCTATTGCAAGCACTTCATCTGCTTGCTTTGTTTTGCTTTGCCAGGCCGGCGTCGTCCTGTCCCGACACCATCAGCTTGGTTGGGTCCTTCCTGCAGGGGCTGGGCTCAGAGCCAGTAGAAAGACTCCCCGTGGCTTTGGTGGGGAGATGTTTGGAGACGGGCTTCCTTGGATCGCTCTTCGGGGGTGCCATGTCTTGTCCCCCCCATTAGCAGAGGCTTGAAAGACGCAGGCTCTTTCCCTCCATCCCTGGGCTATGCTGAAACCTTCCCATGCCTCTGTAGCTCGGCCTCTCCATCCAGCCATCTCCTCTGCAGACTCGGCCTCTCTTGTCTTGCCTTCTGCCAGCTGCATGGGGGGGTTCACCGTTGCAGTTCCCAGCTCTAAGCTCCCTTCTCTCTTGGGCTTAGTCGTGGAGCCCCTGAATCAGCTCTCCACACATCGCCCCAGTGCCCTTCAGTCCTGCCTGCAGGGGCTCCTGAAAGTGGCAGTAGTAAATCTGTAGCTTGAAATACCTGGGCATGCTCTTGCATCCCGGTTCCCGTTGCAGCTCCTGGTGCCCCCCCTGCATGTGTCCGTCTCTGTGGGCTCAACCCCACAGGCCCAGCCTCTCCCAGCTGCCCCATGCAATGCTGGCCTGTCTTTGTGGAGCAGATGAGAGAGAGCTTGACAAACTCACGACCAGCAAAGCATGTGATGGGCTGCCTGACCTGTGCCCACAGCCCCTGCCAGTCTGCACTGCCCGGTCTCGCAGCCAGCAAAGCGGCAGAGCCCACCTGTTCTTGGGCCGAGGGCATTAGTCGTGTCTAACGTCCCACCACATCCTTCAGCAGGCTGCTCCCGCGCCTTCGCTGCTCCCTGCCTGGCTGTTCCTCTTGCTCTGCGGGCCCTTGTCTTCCTTAGTGCTGTTCATGTCTCCACCGTAACCCCCCAGACACCATCAAACCCCCTCTTCCCACTTGGAGGCCGGCAGATCGACACACTGCTCTGTCCCAGCCCCACGGAGCCAGATCCGATGCACCCGATGCAGCGACCCTCGTAACGCAGGCCGCGGCCATCTCCAAACTCCCTGCAGCGCGCTACATCACCTTGGCACCTTGGGAGCTCAGCCCTGGCAAAGGTCCTGAGCAGTGCTTGGTGACCCCCGGGTGCTGTGTCTCCGTGGTGCAACTCTGTGACGTGGGCTCCCCAATCTGCCTCTGCTCCACGCTCGCCTCCAGTCTCGAACGGCGCCGATCCCCCCTCCCAGATATGGGTCGTCAGCTCAGACTCGGCAAAGCGCTGCACCTTCCCTGCCCTCCCCGCCGCAGCCCGTAAGCAGGACCTCCTTCCTCTGCCCGAGCTCTGGGTGTCTGCGTCTCCCCAGCTCTTCCGTCCCCGGGTGGGCAGCCGTGCACCGAGTCCCGTGGCAGGGTGGGAGCAACTCAGTCGCTGGACCGGGGCTGTTGTTAGCCTTTCATAAATGACATTTTGCAGAGACGGACTGTGCTCAGCTCCCCTGCCGCTGCCCCCAGGTGCTTCCTGAAATATCCCACTTAATTTGCTCCATTGCAAAATGCCCGGAGCTCAGCTCTGCGCCAGCTCCTGGGGGCTGTTCACGTGCGGACTCAGTGTGAGCATCTTTTCCAAGCACAGAGACTTTGTCAGGGGGGCTATTGCATGCTTTGCCAGGCTGCCGTGTCCCATTCACCCAGCATCTGGCCATGTCCCTTCCTTGCCCCACATCTGAGCTTTCTGGTGATGCTGAGACCCATGGGAGATGGGATCTAATCCCGGCCCTGCCACTGACTCCCACTTTAGCCTTGGGCAAGTCACCCCATTGATCATTGCCTCTTTCCACCGCTGTAGAACGGGGTGCTGAGAAGACGCATCTGCTTTGCTGCTCAGTCGGGTCACCAGAGCAGCCTGTGCATTGCTAATGCCCTTGCTGGAGAAGGGGAAGCATCAGGGGAGGGGGAGGGGGAGGGGGAAGAGAACAGCCCATTAAAGCAAACCCCCAAAGTGGGATTTCAAGAGTCATCCGATCGGGGGAGAGAGCTGCATGAGCATCCTCCCCTTCGGCTCCCAGCAGAGATCAATGCTGAACGTTCACAGCTGCACACGTGAGCACCTAATGGATCCTCAAAGACGTGCACGCTGATTTCTCGTACACATACACACACGCACGTGCATGCACTGATTTCTCTTACACGCGTGCACACTTTTTAGACATGCACATTGTGTTCTTTTACACACACGTGTGCGCACACTGATTTCTCTTACACACACGCACACATCCCACTGTGTTCTTACACCCATGCGCACACAGACACAGTCTCTCCTAATTAGACTCCGGTGCCCGGAGCAAGCGTCTCACCAGTTTAGTCCAGGCAGTAATCATATTTGTAAAGGCTGGCGTAGCAGAGAACAAATGGCTGTAACCTGAGGGGAGCCTTCGCACCAGCCGTGAGAAACGAGTTAACTACACGGAGTTAATTGGCAATCAATTGACTCCAGGTACAGAAGTCATGCACGAGCCAGCTCCTAGCCCCATGTTTGGATCAGCCGGGTCCCGGGGCTTAGCTGGTGCTGCGTCTCTCTCATTTACATCCTTTATGAGATATTTGTCTGCGCTCCGTTGTTCATACTCTTTAGATCTCTATCCCCCCCGGTCCAGAGAGGCTCAGCGGTGCGGGGAGCAGAAGCAGCCCCAGGGATGGTGGGGAAGGCAGGTGGCTGACACTTCCAAGCTGGATGTCCCTGGGTTCCCTTATCTCGTGGGCTCCCATTGCAAGCCAAGCAGAGCGCTTCCCCTCTCATTTGCAGGCATCTCAGATACTTACCTGGCCCCTGGCAGGGCAGCAGCCAGTCCCGCGCTATCTCCGGCATTCGTCCTCCTCCCTTCCCGCTCCTGACCGTGGGCAGGGAAGGGACCTGGGAGACGAGGGCACACTTCTGTTTCACTTTCATGCCCAGCTGGCACTTCCCAAGCATGTTACCACCACATTTGTGTGCAGTCCTGCTCCCTGTGCGGCACGGATGTGTGCACGCCCTCGCAGCAAAGGAGGATTTGCTACAGCTGTGGCTGGGCACGTCCTGAAATTGCGGAGTGTCCTCCTGCTTCAAGCCAGCAGCTTTGTAGTCAGGGCGTTTGCTCCGGACGTGGGAAACAGGCTCGAGGCCTCCTAACCCATGTATGCACCTCTCTCCAACTTCCCAGCACAGGGCTCCAACCAGCACCCGTCATCCAGACCCCTCCCGAGGCCAAGCCATTGCCCCTTGCATGTAGCAGTCTGGCTGGCAGGGGTGGAGGGCAGTGCAGGGGCGTTTCTAGCCCTGCTCTTCCCAGGACAGCATCCCCTCCCTGAACCACGCACCCTCAGTCTTGTTGTCTTCTTAAACTGGCAGGGGAGATCCCAGGATGGTTTTACTGACCTGGCAGGGGAGATCCCCTTCTTCCCAGCCCTGAATGACCCAGTGCAGTTACAAGGTGAAGGCCTGCCCCTTGCACTGAAGCAGACTGCCTCCAAGTGTGAGGATCGCGGCTACACAATTTAAGGGGATGGGGGATTGCTGTCGGGCTCTCCCTCCAGCCTGCTCCTTTGGCCTTTTGGACAAGGGCAAGTGAGACTAGGGGACATATGAATGCCAAGGCCTCTGGGCTGGGGGCTTGCACATAGGATGCCTGCCATGGGTTTGGGAGGATCTGAAGCCGCAGGAGGGAAGAGACTTGCTGGGGTAGCGCCACACAGACTTCAACAGCTGAGCTCTGCTCCGTCGAGAGAATTTGGAACCGATTTGGCTCCACACATGAAATTAAGAAAAAAAAAGTGCCTGTTGTCTTC